ATTGTAATGAGAAAGGGAGCTAACATAATAAATTGACAGACACTTTTTTTTTGTATTCTGATATTCGAAAAAGTCAAAGTGTGTTGGAGAAAGGGCACTCTGGGAGAATATGTGACTCAAAAGAAAGTTCAAACGAAATAGATTGTTCATATAAAACGACTTGTCTCGACACAAATTATCATGGTACGTTGTCAATACTGGGGGTCTTACTGAGCACATTGTGAAAATGTCTTCGCTGAAAAGTAATAAGATGTCTTCGCTGAAAAGTAATTTATATTGAGCTGCAATCATTAATAGCACTTTCTGGTATATACCACAGTAAGGAGAAGCAATATTTCTTGTGACCATTTGAAGAATATTACATCATACATTAAGCATAACAAAACACTTAAAATATATATTAGATATCATTCCAAAACAATTGCATTGGCATGTGTAGGTTAGTGCTTTGCACTAACAGGGTTAATTTGCAAAAGACCTGCCAGGCATGCAGTAATAAAGCAGCTTCGAGATAGCATATTTTTATTTCATAGTTAACACACCATCTTTCATATAACATCAGCCGTCTTAGCAAACGTATCAGAATGTGTAATTCTCTTTGACAGGTTTACAGGTTCAATTGGTTTATTTTCTCGGACTGACATCACTGCGTTTTGTCCTATCCATTTGTAAGCACGACTAAAAAATATACTCTTCGTTACGACATCGTTTAGCTTTCAACGTCAATGTACGTAATTGACTTGCAAAAAATAGCACACGACCATTGCACTTGAACAATCTGTTGCCATAAAAATGTCGATTTCGTCCAACACAATGATCACTGATCGTAGACTTGAGATACAATGTAAGAAATCCAGCCTTGCAATCCACTGCAAGATCTGGACTACTCACATCGAGTCACATCAGTGAGCTGTTGCAAGGTCCAAACCAGACTTGTATTCTGCTCTTGCTGGCATCCTCCATTGCACTGTAAGTTGCCAAGTCTAAAAAAAACACCTCCTATACTTTAGAAGCTAACCCCCTCTTCCTGATGACGAACGCCTGTGTTGCGATCGAAACGTCGTAGTTTTTGGTTATTTTTTGTTATTTTCTTTGAACCTATCTACGTGACTTTACCGAAAGACCCAAAGTATATTAAGTCAAGATAAAACACCTCCTATTTATCTGAAAAGGTTGAGAAAATCTGGAATGGCATTCTGGCATCTGACTCTCCTAATACTGTCGCCTGTCCTCATATCTCCCCAGTCAGCCTGTCACCATAAATAACATCACTAAAATCATCTCCAACCTATAAACGTTTTAAATAAAACCTCAAATCTCTGCTCACCAAATGCATTCCTAGCTGCCTACCTGTCCTGGTTCCCGTACATTACCAGCTGTGTCAATGCCTCCATCTCATCCAACACCATTCCCTTAGCTGTCTGGACTGCTGCTACGGTCACCCCCCATCCTGAAAAAAAAGCCTACACCGGACCCTGACGTCCCTGTAAACTCCAACCCTATCTTCTCCAATCTTCCCAAACACCTCTCCTTCTATGGAATCTATGGGCCAGTACAGTCTGGCTTGTGCCAAGGCCATTCTACTGAAACTGCTCTCTTAAATGTGATAAATAACTGTCTCTCTCTTCAGACTAGGGTATTACTCTCATTCCTAGTAGTGGCAAACCATTCTGCTGCTTTTCAGACCACTTGCATTCCCTCCGGCGTCTACAAATCTGAGCTTTTCTTCGGCGCTCCATCTCACTTCTTTAATGGTGCCCAACAAAGGCTCTTTCCCTGGTCCCCATTTATTTCTCAATAAATATCCTGCCTCTTGGCAATATCGTCTCCAATTTGAATGTCGACCAGCGTTTCTATGCTGACGACACCCACCTCACCCTTAAGCTCATGCTGCCGTATTCTTTGGTTCTTTCGGTAAAGTCACGTAGGTGGAAAAAATATCATAACAAATTAAATAAATTAAATCACGACGTTTCGATTGCAACACAAGCAATCATCATCAGGTGTGACAACCACAGCAAGACATATTTTTTTACTTGTTTTTTTATTTTATTTTTCCACCTACGTGACTTTACTGAAAGAACCAAAGAATATTAATCCTTGCAGTCACGAAAACTTCAAATCTAGAATCATGCTCCCGTTTCTCTTGTCTTACCTCGACGTGGTTTCATCTTGCATTGGATCTAAATTCTTCGAGCTGATCGTCGCTAAAACAAGAATCCATCGTTCCTGGCAAAAAAAATGCCTTTCCCAATAGAGAAATTCAGTTTGAGTGTTGCACCTCCAAAAGTCTGACAATGCCCTTGCAAAGATTGTGAAACCTTGCAGTTGCCATTGATCCCAAAGGTCTCATTCTCTTCCCACAAAATGTCAACTCTGCTGGACCTCGTACCTCCTCCATCTGCGCAACATCAGCCAAAATATCCCTAACCCTCCACTGGCACTCAAATCCAGTCTCGGATCAAATTCAGAATTGCACTCATTTCAAGATGCTCTCACGGTGTCGCCAATGCCCGCCTCTCCCCCTCTTACAACACTGGAGTCGCCTCCACGCACTCTCCACTTGAGCAGTAAGCAAGGCCTGCCATCGAAGCCTCCGGTCAACAATTATCTCAGTGCAAGGTCGCTTCATTGTTCTCTGCTGCAGCTGCCATAGTACGGCTGTCTCTTCCCCCAGCCACCTGTGCTGACGTTTTTCCCCGGCGCCCGTTTAAGTACCTGGCTCCATAGAAAAACACATTGTTGTACTCTGCCTATGACCGACTGCCTCGTCTCTCTATAAAATAAATGCCTAATTTTTCTTTACAGAGTTTTGAGAAAACGGGTCGGGCTTTGAATGGTGCATAAATCCCAATTGTGTTGTGTCATTGTACCTTCGGTCATCTCACAGAGCTGATAAAAAAAGTGGCATGTGCATGGCATAGAATTACATTTGTATGCTCTCTTTAAAAATATACAGAATGATGTCGGCTTGCAGATGCTCACTTTGTAAAAGTATAAGCTCACTCGGCTCCTGAACATATGCTGGCCGTATAAATGTATTCCTATTCAACGTTACTATTCATGATGACATGCGCGCCTTTGAGTGGTAACGGGCTGCCCTCTACAGATAGAACAGAGCAATGAGCAATGATTTAAAGGTAGAGAGAGCAGAAGACATTGACATTCTGTGGACCATGAAAACCATTACGAAACAATGTACAGGGAAGTAATCAACGCCGCGTTACTCATTATTTCATTCGCTCAAGACATTTAAACGTAAAAAAAATTCGCAAACACGTTCATATGGAATCACACCGTAATGAAATTAATAGATATATACGCCATTTGTATGTCATGTACACGTTATGTATAAAACAATCACGTGTTTTTCATTATTTATTTATCATACGCGGCATCATACATAAACAGTGTCAGCAACATCGAGCACAACAATTAAACGGTAGCATACGCTAACACATGCTATTATTATTACTGCAGAGATTATGTTAATTTGCCTCTGCATTTTTCTTTGGTCGTTTTTTTTAAACTATGCTGCATTCATATTCTTAGTTTTTTCGGTAAAGTCACGTTGAAGGGAAACAACAAAATAATAAAATATATACAACAACAAAATATATATTTTATTATTTTGAAGGGAAACAACAAAATAATAAAATATATACAACCATTAAATATATTTTATTATTTTGTTGTTCCCCTTCAACGTGACTTTACCGAAAAAACTAAGAATATGAATTACTGCAGTCACGAAAGCTTTAAATCAAAATTTATGCTGCATTCGTGAATGTGTTTACAATTTTATCTACACACACGTGCTACTGTTTATTTCAACGCTGCCACAGCCTGTTTGGAACTATTACAATTACCCGTGACTCTTCCACTCATAAGGGGCCGTCCATAAATGACGTCACGCACCTGGGGGGGGGGTCAGACATTTGTGACGATGTGTGACGAGGGGGGGGGGGTTTGAGAAATGTGACGTCACATCAAAATGCGCAACTTTAAATAAATATAGACAACACGTTCTACTTAAATAAATAGACTTTTAATAAATGTTTTCTCCTACAACATCAGACTGCAGCGCCACATTAAATACTCACTACAATGACAATAGTTTAAAGCGATTCGAAGCATGTTTTATTTTTGAGGGGGGGGGCAGAGCTTTGTGACGTCATATTTGAGGGGGGGGTCTGACTTTTTGTGACGTCGTGTGACGAAGGGGGGGGGGGTCAAAAATCGTCCAAAATCGCGTGACGTCATTTATGGACGGCCCCTAAGGACGGCCACGTATGCTTTTATTAGTCCCCCACCCATCCCACATTGAAGTGTCAACGGGGCATCGCATTTCTCTTGGCCGCTACCCCCATCGCGATAGCTTCTTTTTGTTGAACCGAGGACAACCCTGGCGACTCTCCTACAACCTCCACCCAGTGCCGGATTTTCCTAGAAGCACAAGTAGCTATTACACGTGTAGTGTAGTAGCTACTACACGTATAGTGTAGTAGCTACTACACGTGTAGTGGCCACTACACTACACGTGTAGTGTAATAGCTACTACACGTGTACTCCTAGTAGCACAAGTAGCTACTACACGTGTAGTGGCCACTACTACACGTGTAGTAGCCACTACACGTGTAGCAGTAGCCACTACACGTGTAGTGTCTTTCAAGCTATCAATTCCGGTTCAGTGACGCTGCACTTGCTCTATTACTAGAGTACTATACCGCCTTCAACTTTTATGAACGACTGGGTGATTAATGTTAGCGATTTGTCGTATTATCTGGTTATATAGCAAATGAAAAAATACAATTACTTTACAACGCAAGTTAAAAATTTGTCTAGATTTGAAGTTTTCGTGACTGCAGGGATCCATACTCTTTGGTTATTTTGGTAAAGTCACGTAGTAGGTAGAAAATGAAATAAATTAAATCACGACGTATTGATTGCAACACAAGCAGTCATCATCAGGTGGGAAAACCACGGCAAGAGATTTGAGGTTTAAATATTCATGTTTTTTTTTTATTTAGGGCCCCCTTTATAACGTATGCTACAGGCCCCGCACGAGCTTCATCACGCACTGCCTCCACCTCATTGCTCATCGCTTCCGTCTCTCCAGAAAATCCTCCTCCTCTTCCTGCCCGGGGTTCCGACCATCTCCGAGCCACACTTTGACCGGCCGTCGCTTTTTCCCCGCAGGCTTCCCCCAACGGAAGTGCTCCACGGAATAGGACCTCTTTCCATCGTAGGCTCCCTCGGGGTCCCTGATCTCGGCGCTTGACGTCTGCCCGTTGTCTTCCTCGTCCCGCGCGTTCGTCGCTGTCGCCGCGACGTTTCCGTCCGGGCTCACGAGTTGCTGCATTCGACGTAAATAACCTGCGATGTAGTCCTGCAGCAGCTTGGCCTGAGGGGTGTCGCCGCTGCTGCTGTCGCTGGGTATGCATTCGTTTTGGGCGCCTGGCGCGCAGGGCTGCAGCAAAGGCACGAGGAAGCACACGGTCCATTGATCGGTATGAATGCCAGATATTGCAATTGAAAACGAATTTGAAGTATCTGCGACAGCGTCTACAAAAGCTCAACACATTGGTGAATGATACCGCCCTAAGGGTCTACACAAATATATCATAGGACGTTTCAGGCGATGGCCGTTCATCATGCTTGATACAAGCATTCACATGGATGTAGGTTTGCAGCGTTTTGTTTTGTTGAATTAAAAAGGGAGTAAAATATGCTTGTAAACATGTGGCGTAAATCGTCCACTGCTTAATTTAGGTCAAAATTAAGATACATACTCTTATTTATACCTACGTGACTTTACCGAAAGAACCAAAGAGTATGGATCCCTGCAGTCACGAAAGCTTCATATCAAGATTAAATTAATATACGCTGTGAAATTGCAACTGGGTCTAAAACACGCAATTATTTGCGACTTAAAACGTTGCATCCCATTTGAAACGTCCACTGAAACTTGGCCTTGCACAACTTTGCTTGAACATTTGAATGCGTTGGGGTCCCCCCCCCCCCCCCCCCCCCGTTGGGACACAGCAATTATTGCGCGATAGAGAAAAACGAATTATGTGGTACAACAAACCACCCCTTATTGAGATGCGATTGTTACGTAAATATTTTATTTTTTTATGTTCTTTGGTTCTTTCGGTAAAGTCACGTAGATAGAAAATAAAACAAAAGCTATTTTCTATCTACGTGACTTTATCGAAATAAACAAAGAATATGAATTTCTGCAGTCACGAAAGTTTTAAGTCAAAATTTTTTTTTAATGTTTATATATTTTTTTTTGTTAAATTCATGGAAAACCTCACCTTGCCAATGATGGAAGCACCCACCGCTGAGCCCAACACACAGGCAAGCAGCAGAAAGAACCGCGTGTGCATCTCGGCGTGAATCTGGAGGACACCACGCATCATGCGGGTTACCTAGCACATCCCACCCCCCGCCCATTTTCACAGCTACGCTCCGGCAGCATTTGCCAAAAACCTAAACGCAAGCGAACTGTTGGTGCCAAAACCCGCGCATTGGCGCTACTTGAACAAAACGCATATAATCATTTGTAACACGATGCGAGGCACCAACAACTGCCTCGCTACGCGCTCGGGGCACCAAAAACACCATCGAGGGGTTACTGGATTTGTGACAGAGAAAAATGTGGGTGACCCCAATATATCTCTTCATATCTGACTGCACATTTGTCTCCTATCTACATAAGTTTCACTTCAAAACGTCTCTGTCTCATTCGCATTTCTCTTTTTTTATCTCACTGCATCTCTACCTCTTTCTACATGTCTTCTGTAGTCTCACTGGAAGTTTATACATCGATAGGGGACCTCTTAGAAATTGATTCTGTTTCGGGATGGTAATGGGGCAACACCACCACTGCCTAGAATGAATGCATTGTGTATATTGGTGAAGTGATAATTGTAATTTCACTTGACGGGTCTTCTTTGCACACCAGTTAATGTGCATCAAGGCCGTAATTATAATATATATTGGGGGGGACAAATACCCCCCAATATTCAAATATGCTCAAAATGTCCCCCCCAATATATTGCTATAAAATAGATTTCTGTTTATATGATTGTGGTTATGGTTGTACTTTATTAATCCCTAATCTCTGCCATTACATACAATGAAACAAGAAAAGGTAAAAAATAAAAAAACAGAGCAATGTAATACAATACACTATCAGACATTATTGTAAAAAATAAATACAAAGTCCATCCCATGTGTTAGTGAATTCTTTAATATTTTAAGCAGGAAATGGCAGGAAATTAGTTTTCAAATTTAGATTTTTTTTCTGGGGGGGGGGGACCCCCAGACCCCCTGGAAGATTTGGTCCCCCCAAATGTTGACTCCATGGCTACGGCTTTGATGTGCATTCGCCTTTTTTACAAGCAACAGTTCCAAAATTGTTCAGTTTTATGAACATGTGAATATTATGATAACGTTGTTGATTACTTAAGATTTGCACAGATTTTCAAGTGTGTGAGACCAATGTAAATGTTTAAACTGTATTTTATATACTGTAGTACGTGAAGTTAAAATTCAATTAATAAAATCAGCAAAATTTGAAATGTACGCAATAACGTTTGTAGAGATACAAATTGAAAGGCGGTCTTTTCATTTGAATTTGCTTGGAACAGTATTATTCCTGTTAACTCTAAGATGTGTTTTGCAGTTCTATGTGCAATTAAATGAAGTAAATGTGGCCACAACTTTAGAATGCATACGCTTGGCAGCAGATATACATTAAAAAATAAACTTGCTTTCAGCATTGTACGAGAATTTCTGTTTTTACAATCACATAAAAACGAAAAGTCGGTGACCCGAACCAACAAAAACTTACAACACATTTCACCGTTGTGATATACGATGCAAATGAGAACGGAATAACATGTTACCTAATAATAGCGTGTTTCCCCTTTTTTTCTGGCAACAAAACTGAAACCTTCTTGCAAGGATTCATGTCTGCATTAACCACAATACTTGCAGTCAAAATGCAAACAAAAAACATACTCTGATAATATATATGCATTGTTTTTTTAAGCTGATTGGTCCACACCAAGGAACGGCTTTCTTTTCAAAGAAAGCCGTCCCTTGGTGTGGACCAACAATGCATATATTATCAGAGTGTTTTTTGTTTGCATTTTGACTGCAAGTATTGTGGTTAATGCAGTAACATGGATCCTTGTAATAAGGTTTCAGTTTTGTTGCCAGAAAAAAGGGGGAGAACCCTGTTATCATAATTTGGTACTGGCAAAAGAGGTCTAATGATGAACATGTTACCTTTTGCGAAGTCGCTGCACAACAAAGAGCTTCAATTCAGAATCTCAGCAGTTCGAGACACGTGTTGACTGAGGTCAGGATTCTGGAGAAGTGACGATACAGGCAGCAACGGAGGGAGTCCTTATAAGATGTCAGTGTGAAGGGGGCTGGGGTATATGCATGCATGCGGTGGGTGTATAACACAAAAGTGCATTCGTATATCTGAAGGACCTGCGCTATTTGCGCGGCTAAGTGCACTTTCATAGGTAGCGCTCTCAGCAAATGGGAACCATGCTGTATAGGTTAAGCCTAAGTGATGGGTAGAGAGATAGGTGGAGTGTTTTCGCACGCCGCACTACGAATCCAGTCACCCGAGTTTGATTCCTTGTCCCATTGCATGGATGTTGAACTTCTTTCGCACTTAGTACGTAGCCAACGGTGCTAGTCGGAGGTGCGGGGGAAGGACAACAAACTACAACACAATTTTGAGTTCTAAAGAAATGAGTTTTCAACCTAGATTTAAAAGTCTATAGCTTCCAGCTTTCGTGACTGCAGGGATTCATATTCTTGGTTCTTTCGGTAAAGTCACGTAGAAGGGAAACAATGCAATTATAAAAATATGAAACAATAAAATTCCCACGACGTTTCGACTGCAACACAAGCAATCATCATCAGGTGTGAAAACCACAGCAGATACACACCTGATGATGATTGCTTGTGTTGCAGTCGAAACACTGGTAGTGAGTTATATTTAGACTGATCCTGGACTCCCCAACAACCCACGCTGACCGGCGTGGTGAATTATGGTCAAACAGCCCTTCATGACTGACAATGAATGGGGAGTCCATCAACAAGCAGTGCGTTGACGAGGACCTGGACATTTATTGCCTGGTGATGGCAAATATTTTCAATTAATAACGTCAAATTATAAAAAAGTCGATTTAGATTAATTACAACCTTTGATTGTAACTTCCATATTCCTGTGACGATAGCGGTTTCAATAAATAGGACAAGTGACACTGAGGTTTCACAAATTAATATGTATGTTATTGACCACTTAGGAATACAGGGCTGAGTCAATCATGCATCAATGTTTAAACGTACAACCTTACGATTGTGAGACAAACACACGAACCTCTGCATCACCCAACCGGATGCCCCATACATAACAACATTTTCATACTGTATCGCTGTTCATATCATTCATTGAATTCGCTCATTCAAACGATATGCCTGTAGTATAGTTGACATGTAAAAACACGAATATAATACATACATGCCAATGTATATGCTATTTCAATAACCCTTTTCAGATGTTAAGAATACAAGTTCTACATTTATTTAAAATATCTTAATTGGTGTCCAAAAATACGGCCAGGATTTTTTGTTGATGTTAATTCTCTCCTCTGGTCTATGTGCACGTTCTATAAAGGGCCATTGTCCGAAACGTCACTTCTTGGACCCTTTAACCTTTTGAGGAAGTGTCATTGACGAATGTGTTGAATTTATCTGTTGTTTGTACAACATTGTGCCTTTTTCGATTTAAAGCTTTCGTGACTGCAAGGATTCATCTTCTTTGGTTCTTTCGGTAAAGTCACGTAGAATGAGAATAAAATAATAAATTAATAAAATAACACAATAAAATTTTCACGACGTTTCGGCCACAACACAAGTGGCCTTCATCAGGTGAAGGCCTTCATCAGGTGAAGGCCGCTTGTGTTGTGGCTGAAACGTCGTGAGAATTTTATTGTTATTTTTTTTATTAATTTATTATTTTATTCTCATTCTACGTGACTTTACCGAAAGAACCAAAGAAGATTGTGCCTTTTTTATAACAATGTACTCACCGCTGGTGCGTCAGTCATGATGGGGGGAGAGGGGGGGGGGACTTGTCCATACTTCACCATGCGAGGCAGTGAGGATAGGTGAAGGAAGCAAGGTTTGTCTCGCCTGTTGACAGGCTGGTACGAATGACCCTATCTAGAATAGCTTAGTAACGCCTTGGCGGAGAAAACCACGTATAGCAGTGGATTGATCGTGACTGGCTGATGATCATAACTCATCTCAGAGTCTCCGAAGTGTGACTAAGTATTGTCCTTGACACGTGACACCTTGTCGACGTAGATTTGTATTTTTATTCTACACATTACTGACAGAAAATTACAAGTGAATTCATAAATAGTCAAATTCCGGGTGACGACCATGTCTATTCGTAGGTTAATGTGACTGTTAAATAAACACGGCATGATTATGGCATCGTTGCAAGATAAACATAGCAAATAAGCCATACAATTGTTGTTTTCATTTATTGTAGATGCAAAATATACATCGAAAGTCAAGCTATATATAAACATATTTCATGCAGTTTTTTTTTACATTTTTAAGCATACACTGATTGCCACCATCCTTAAGTGATTATTTTCTTACAGCCAGTCCCTTCAAAATAAACACACATCTCGAAAGCAAACGTCACTATGCTCACATACATATATACACACAAACGTATTGACTGTATGTGGTAATTATTTTACAAAAAAATCAATTCCACTTGAAAAAGTTGGTTAGCATAATTTTGCATTATAGTTGCATATTGCTAAGTATGACCACTGTGAGGACAGGGCCACTGATAAAATATGTATAGTCTTACACCAACAAATGTGCTATCATGAAGCTTGATACAATTCCACAGACACTTTGTAAATTCCTGTAAACAAGTGCACATGTCGTTACTAAACCACATGTATACCTGTCCCAAATCCATCACAAAGCAGTGGTTCAGAAATCGTTTTGAATGTGACCACTGCACTCACACTCTGGACTGCAGCTACAAGTACGCGCATTTCCTTAGTAATCTACCATTGCGTCTCCACGCCTGCCGCGAAGACGGTCGCTATTTTTAAAGTTCGGTTTTAACACGTGAGTGGACGAAGAACAATGTGATAACAATGATAGGTTGCTGAGTTCCTTTGCACGGATGAACGGTGGGGCATCTACGGCTGGCCCAGTCATGCTGCTATAGGGTGTTGTGAGAGTGCACAGTGTGTTCTGTATAAAGCGGATGCAATAGATCGATAAACATTGATAACAGGACAAGCGCTGGCAACATTTCCAGCAAATATATTATGACTAAATCATAGTAAGAATCCCTGTCTAGTTTAGTCTATTCACCTGAGTGTCCCTTGCAAAAGAGACGGTGGATCTCAATTGAATGGGCTCTCAACGTTCTATGTAAAACAAAACAAAATAAGTAGCGTTGACAAAGTAGGAACGTGCACATCAGATTTAGAGACTTGACAATTGTTCGCATACTAATATGCACGTGCAAAACAATCCGAGAGTAATTGAATATCACAGCGCATTTCTGTTGGCCTTGGTGATACGCTGACAGCATCAATATTGTCAATAAGATCGGTCACCATCTCCTGCTCGCGGGAGAATAGCGTAATTCAAGCACAACAGTTATCCCTGAATCTCTTGAAAAATGTCGTTCTCGATAAATACAACACACTCGGCTATTTGAGTCCATTCTTCCCACACGTTTCAACCCGACTAGATTCTACACGCTGCTCATGTACGCAGTCGTATTAAAGTCCGATTTTAAACCTTATCACAATTATTCATAGCCAAATAAGAGCCTCAATAAAATATGAATACCATGGGCGTAAAAATGAAGCCACGTATACAAATTCTGGCTCTGCCACAATTCAAAGACAATTTTATTTTAAATAGTGCTTTGATGTCATTACTTTCATTGCCGCAGAGCCACTATATTACGACCACAACATATATATAAACAAAATTCTACACCATGTTATTCCTATTGTGTGTATCAGCATTACGTCTCAAGACGAATAATCCATTCAGAACTCTTGCAAGGGGGCATTGCAACGCCCCCTGTGTTTGGGGGACGGGAAAAGAGTCCCGGGAACTACTTTTGAATGCCATTAAAGCAAACAAACCTCCTGTCTGCATTAGGGGGAACACTTTTTTCATCCACCCTGTAAAAGAGAAATATTTGTCACGTGACAGTGAAACATGTTGTTTGTAATTTTCAAGAGTGGGAATATAGGCGACATTAATGACAAAACAAAACGCTTTGACCTGGGGTGTTTTTTTTTTCATCGTGTGTGCAGTACCTCGTGAACAGGATGATACCATAAACTCACTACACGCGAGAGTCCGGCTTAATTGCAGGTGGCTCTAGGGCAGTGGTTCTCCTTAACCTGGGGTGCACGCACCCCTGGGCGTGCGATATGCCCTTTCTGGGGGTGCCAGACATGGCCAGATTTTTTGTTCGAAGGTAAATCATCTAAAACACAAGTTAAGCACGGGCACGTAAGTACAACTGCTTTGTTTAATCAAACCCTCTATGTATTTATTAACGTACTTTTTTTTTAAGATTCAGAACCAAAGAGGTGCAGGCTGCAGTGAAGGTTAAGGACCCACTGCTCTAAAACATACATTTTAAACCAGGATCTCTGAGCTCTGATGTCCGAGTCGCCCATCTACCTCTGTCACCAAATATTTAAAACTCGGATTAATATAAGGAGTGTTACAATTAGCCCCCCCCCCCCTCCGCATCCCAATTCAATAATAAATTATTTCACGTGTTTACATTGCGGTGAATGTAGTGGCTTCCAGTGGCTAGAGCAGTCACGCCAATCCGTTACATACAACATACGCAAACTCAAAACGTGTAAATTGTTCACACACGTGTGTCCGTGACGTGTACCGCAAGCTACAACGATCAATATTCACCAAAGAATCATTGCACGCGTGTTAGATCGAGAGCACCGGGAGCGATGCTGACAAGCTCCATTCTCTATGTATTTGTCAGAGTTTTTATACAACAGGTGAATAAATGTCATTCTCAAGAGAACCCAAGTCAAGGTAATATGTACACTGGAGCTCGCGTTTATATTGAGCTCAATTTGTAGAGGCTCAATCGATCGTGAATCAAACGGTGATTTGTAAAAGGGGAATTATCGTCGGTTGTAAAGTAGCAATGACCAGACCAGTAACCATCCATTCTTCTCATTATTCTTGCAAAGTGGTTCGCAGGTGTCGTATTGCTAAAACAAAAAAAACGTGTTATATTATAAGTACGTACATTATATTTTATGTTCATCTCAATAATAATAAATATATTACAATTGTGTAGTATACACTGAGCTAATGTTTCTGAAAACACTCGACAGAAATCAAATTGCTTTTTGTGGTTAAGTACTGCATTGAGTTAAAAGAGTGTATGAGTTCCACTTATATTTACATTTATAGCAGAAGTAAAAACAACTCACAATGAATATTGCATCCAATTAAACATTACATTGCGGTAGCAATTATTTCGCAATTCTTAATCAGATTTGCATATGAATGATATGTTAATTCATACCTGTCCAAATGGATCCAATGCATCTGGACAGGTACGCAACGTCACAAGCCAAACAAAGGCATGAGAATTGTTACCAAGGGAAGGCATCGATTCGCGAATCCCGCCGGTAGATCGGCGCTTGCAGACAATGCACCTTTGCGCGTGTACTATGTACAATCTTATCAACGCACAGCGATTCGTATCAAGCAAATATCAGGTCAAGCATAGATCTAAGTGTGGTATTCCAGGTTGGACCGCGTGTTGAGCAGTTTTACTCTCTCTCTCTCACACACACACTCGAGCTTTTTGCCACGCACTACTGCTGCCGAATTATATCAATCGAAATTTGTTAATCTGATAAGTCAGAAGAATGCAAGGAAAGGAGTGTATGAGTATGAACACGAGTAAGATTAGCTGTCTGTCCTCCTGAAGATGCCCGCGCAGCCGTGCATGGCGAAATTTCACGAGGATAAATTAACGTACGTTGAACTTCTTTCGCACCGCACGTAGCCAAAGCGTGCTAATCGGAGGTGCAAATGCTCAACGCAAGCGGCTGTGAAAACTTGCGTTAGGTTAAGAATGCAGCTGTACAATATTTTCAAATTTTTCGTATCAATGTGCGTTGTAGGCATAGTGTTATAGTTCCATTACACATATAAGGTTATAACTAGTCTTAGCATGAGAGCGTAAGCCATCAGCACACGCGTTTCACATGTAAACTAAAGTGTTATTGAGTTACATATCCAGTTTATTGTATATACGTTTTCCTTATGCATATTTCTTTCCATATGTATTCGTGTGCTCTTAATGATGTCTTAGTACAGTAGAATTGTGAGCAGATTGTAACGTTCCAAAATAAATCATCTTGCGTCACTGACATTATTAAGTGTAACCAGTGATGATTATATACGTGCGGATGGAATGATGCTCCAAAAAAGTGAGTGTATAATTTACATGGTTTGTTTAACATTTTACTTCTGAGCGCAGGCAATTGTGATGGCATACCTTGCCATACAGCACCGAGTGACCGGTATATATGTTAGAGTGAGTGTAAAGTTTGCGATGTTATTATCAGGTTATTGTATGCCGCTGCATTGCATCTAATGTACACTTTCTATACATAGGACCAGATCCACATATTTATTAAGCAGCTGACATGCAGCATCGCTGATAATTCCATCCTTTCCTTTTTGCAGGTAAAGGAGACATCAACACACTTTCATCTAAAATCATCACGAGTTTGGCCCCTACTCTATTCATGACCGTTTACACACATATATGTAAATATGGCTACAAATTCCAAATGTTGCGGAGTTGAATTTAAGTAACTTGTTTTCGTATTTATTAGCCGAGGTATTTAATGTATTTTTTTTAGCACGTGACGTTTTTTACGGTTTATAACGAAATGCTGCACAAACGTGGCACGCTAATATTGATTAATCTCTATATTGCAAGACGTACACGTTTATAATCCCTTCACAGTTCCAATCGCCATACGTACAATATATATGTCTGTAAGGTGTCAACATCCACCACTAACTCCCATCTTTGCCAATTCTGTGTAGAGCCAACGTGGAAGAGTAGGCCGAATAGCCCACCATCAGGGGGCTCTCTAGGGCTTCCTCTGGGTGGAGACACCGCCGCCAGATTGCGACGCTGTCCCCTTAAACTCGGTGCAACGATGCGACGGCGCGCACACACGCACGCACGCGTACACATGTAAGCACGCACGTGAGCGTGTACCCACGTGCACACGCACACGACGAAGACACCGAACAGCACGACAAAGCCCTACACCCGAGTGCTGCCGAACACGACGTTGTCATTGGAGTCGGCCGGCGCCACGGCGCTGCACAGGCTGATGGACGCCGCGCCGTCGCTGTAGTCCCGGTGATGGACCAGCGCCGGGCTGCCGGCGGGCGCACCCCTCGGATCGGCCGTCGTGGCCGCGGCCGCGGCGACGGCGGTCGCGGCGACGGCGAGGTTGCCCGTCACGAACGAAGGGCAGGAGCGAGTTCGCATGCAGCCGCGAATGCGCGCGCTGCGGTCCCCGCCGCCGCCGCCGCCGCCGCCGGGCCTCCCGTCAGCCGAGGAGGCGGAGGGCTTGTCGCCGGCGGCCAGCGAGGCGCGCTCCTCGCGCCGCTTGATGGAGTACCACGTGAGGAATATGAAGATGAAGCCCATGAACTTGATGCCCGCCACGAGGCCGAAGTAGACGAAGCGGAAGGAGGTGACGTCGTACTCGAGGCACGAGCCGTAGGTGCCGCAGTCGTGCTGCTGCCACAGCATGCACGTGGTGTCGATGACGGCGCCGAAGTAGATCGGAGTCGGGATGTACGCTGGCGGGAGCGAGGGAGGCACGCGCGCTGTGTCAAGTGCCGTTTAGCGCCGCGAATACGCGGCGAAAGCTCTCGAAGCCGGGCCGATAGAACTGCCTTTTTGTGTTTTAGTTTCTTTATTTTTATTTAGTTTGTGCTTAGACTCCGCTCCTTTAGTACCATGGAATGATGATGAAAAAAAATACTTTCATTCTAATTTAGCATCGTTCATGCCAACAAGGACCAAATACCCATGCACGCGTTTGGCTACGTACTGCGCTAAAGAAGATCAGCACACATACACACCCGGCAAATGAAAACTCTACTACCAAGCAAAATCCAAAATTAATAAACAAATTAAGAAATGGCACCAACATTAAAAACACAAAAAATAAAATAACGTTTAATGGGAGAATAACTCCCAATGTCAGCTGTAGCCTGCCTGGACCATGAGCTTTAAGGAAAAGAGGCAGACTTTAAATGAACATGAAGCCCATTCCTAATGAACCCTTTTAAACCACATTCACGTCTGAGTATCAATTTGATGATGGCACCTTAGGGTGGCTGATTTGTGCCACAAAGATGGCACGTGTTTATGCATAAATAACACGAACTTGTCTTGACTTGTTTACTGCGTGAGATCTCCACCCCACCAAACATGCTATCCTTGCCCTTCCCCCGCATCTCCTATTAGCACGGCTGGTTACGTATGGTGCGAAAGAAGTTCAACATACCAACATACTTTTTTTGGGGGGGTGGTGTGGAGATTTTTTCCGGTTGTGGCCGCGGTCCGGCATACATTAATTAGTGAGAGAATACTCCAGTTTAATTCCATTTATATGCGTGACTTACGGCCGAACAGCTTCAATTGACACTCTATAACTGTCAACTAAATAGTCACAATTTCATGATGTTGATTCACTCTTCAAGACACCGGTGGGCTAAAGTCGTGAACTATTTGTCTTTTGTAAACGTGACACATTTTTTTTACTGTTTGGCTGTGTCGGGTGGTGGAGGGTTACGATACATTTATAAAAAAAACGCGATCTAACCCAAAAACCTTGACTATGCAGTATGAATACAGCCGCTGATAGAGAGGCGAAAAAAGGCACGGTTGAATAGTTGCCGTCGCCTTGAAGCAGGCAGCGTGAAAGGCGAAGTAAGGTGCACTAGAAGTGGAAGGACGCGGAGATATTCTCACAGACTTGAAGCGTTTATTCTATGTTCACCTTTAACGTAAGTGTAAAATGTAAAAGAAAAAAAACATAGCACTAATGGAGCACATGGATAAGCGTGGCACCTTAGGGTGCAGGGTCACCGCATTCTGCGCAGCACGTAAGTTCAATAGACGGCTTTAGAATGACTTGTGCACATCGGCACGCCATGTCGTAGCTTACCACACGCAGTGTTTCCACGTGCAAAACAGTGTTTTTTTGGGAGAGAAAACAAATCTGAAATTCATAGTTATTTACGTCGGCCAACTGTATGGCTTACGACGAATTATTCCTTAACCTGAGTGCAGCTTTGAGAGGTTTTACCATATTGACACTCATGAAAAAACAGTATCAATTTACTGTAAGGAGAGACACCGTAAACCACGGTTAACTGGGCTAACAGAGCGGAGATCTGGTCCGGCTAACTGGATGTTTCAGCCAGAGTGCTAATATGTTTAAAATTAAAAAAAATATTTAAATACATACGAGAAAGTCCCACCTCGTGTTTAATCTAATATTTAAAAAAACAACCCTCACTAACACTTATCGTGAATAAAATTTTAAATAAAATTTATTAAAAATAGGTATAAAAAGTGGTATACAGTACTGTGGTTTTGTACTCACCACAGATGGTACGATGCAGCTGTGGAAACACTCCGGACCAAAAGTTATGAGTCACTGAGGCGAGTGGCAACGCCTTGAACCTTTGCCCCCAAAAAATAGAAAACTTAAACTGAAACTAACCTCAAGGTTTACTCAAAAGTAACAGGACTGCACATTGCAAGCTCGCCACTGAATACTTTGGTCATCATTCTCCTGGTGGCCTGGGGCTGTGCAACATGGGTGCGGGCTTAGCGCCGTCGGGCTTATGAGAGTATGTGGAAATGCTTATCTATAGAGGTGGCTTTTTGGCTTGCAGATACTTACTTTGCTTTGATATTTTGAGCCAGACTCAGTCTGAATTCTGGATACGTGAAGTCCGGTTAGCCGCGGTTTACTGGAGAATGAAATCAAAATTTTTTGCTTTACCAGTTTCCGGACCGAGCCTGGCTCAATCTGAATTCCGGACACGAAAAGTCCGGCTATCCGGAGTTTACCGGATAATGAAATCGCATGGTACCTAGAGTGCGCAGCAACACGAACTGCATGCCGAGCGCCAAAGGCCTCTCGGTTTCTTCCACCGATCTGGATCAAGACAAAGAGAATCATCATTCGGTCTTCCACGATGTTAAAGCACCAGTAAACAAAAAAAAAACACTCGCGTCAAAATCAAAACGCGTATTGCACGTACACAACAAGTATACCGCATGTTCGTTACAATCATTAACGATCATCATCACCGCTCATGGTCTTGGGACACCATCATCCAGTCAAACTTCTGCACATGGCATTGCTCCATCTCGGCGGTGGTCATACTCTCATTGGTGTGGCCCTTTCTTGGCTGCTCCTCCGTCACCAGTCTCGTCCATCGGCCAAATTCCCTGCCAGCTATGACGTGTCCAGCCCAAGCTCGCTTACTTTTATTGACAGTCAACACGATGACCCACCCCCTCCTGCCACCCCTCCCCCCACTCCCCCCCCCATAACGTTTGTTCATTTTTCCTCGCCTTCCCATTATAACAAAAAAAGGTGTGTGCTCACGCTCGCACTCCCTACGCCGCGAGTGGGGTAGTGAGATCATTTCATTTAGAGAGGATTTAGCTGCTATACATTTCCACGTGACGAGAATCCAATTCATGAGGCTATGTTTCTTTTTTGTGATAGCCAGGCCGCTTCTGATATAAAGAGCCAATGGGCCTTACCTGGTAAAAAATATATAAAAAAGGTCTGATATAAAGAGCCAATGGGCCTTACCTGGTAAAAAATATATAAAAAAGGTATTCGTAATACATTTCTGTCCCTCTACCCCCGCCAGTGAGCTCCACGTTTCGGGCTTCTTCCCACGGGGTTTCTGTGCCCCCTTTTCTATTTTTTATTGCTCGTGATCTGTACCGGGCTCTTGTCAGAATATATTTTGAAAAAAATGCGATCACTCCAATTTCAGTTTGTCCTCTGCTTTCCTCCTTCTATATCTCGGTGTAATTCCCAGCATATGCCATATCAGACGATACATACTCATTGAACATTTCTCCTTATCGCACACTGGTGTTATTAATGATCATATTGTGCTTCCCCATCCCTGTGAAATTCCCACATTCTTCACCAATATCGGTTATTGATAACCCGTAGCCTGCCTGGGGCTATTAAAACGTGCTTATTCATTTCCTCTGTTTTGGCGGGGAATTGGCGGTACCGTGGTTAGCACACTACGCTATGTACCTGGCGACCTGAGTTTGAATTCTGGCCACGGTTAACACCAGCCGGGAGTGATATCTGAAATGGTCCTGGGGTTCCGCACCTTCACCAACCCGCACGGTGAAGTATGGTCAAACAATCCTCCATAACTAACGTGGTGTACGGACACCTTTATCTCGTGGTCTGTGACTTCACTGCTTCATTGTCCTTCAGTGAGGCATGAGCAGCTAAATGTAAAATAATAAAATAACTCACTGGCTTTGAGTTTGTAATATAACCTAATGTATTTTTTTATATATAAATCCACTGCTGAATGAAGGCCATATCGATCACGGTGGTTGTTTGACCATACTTCACCATGCTGGTCTGTGTAGGTCGTTAGTGATGGGGGCGGGGGGAGACCAGGACAGCTTCATTTATCCCTCGCCACTTGTTGGCGTTTGCCGTAACCGGGAATTGAACTCAGGGTGCCAGATCAGTGGCGCGGTGCGCTGTGCGCCAACCGCCCGCCTAACCGCCACTCCAAATGCGTTCTCCCCTACGTCAGCCAATCGCACCTTTGCCCGAGCTTAGCACGGAAACGACCGCAGCACCTGAGCGTGACGATGATGGCGGAGGGCTGAGCGCAGGCCGTGATGAGCGTGACGATGAAGAGGAAGATGAGGAAGGGCACCAGGGTGCGGCAGTCTCTGGTGCACTTTCCCGGCAGCGCGTGTCCGCTCTCGTGCAGGAACGTCTTGATGATCACCAAGTGGATGTGTCCCCGATGGCCGCTCTCCGTCTGTGCGATCACCTTCTGGCTCTGGATGCACGCGCAGTCCGTGAAGTTGTGGATGTTCTGCGACCGTCCGGAGTGGGAGCGAGCGAGCGAGAGAGCGAGAGTGGGGAGGTTACATTGAATGTCGGTCGAACGTCGGGTCGCGTGCAGGGCAGCTGTGTCGTGTCGCTCACGCTTTGTATGCACGTGCGTTGAACCTCTGTCGCACCGTGCATAGCCGGCCGTGCTAATCGGAGGTGCGGGGAGCGGAGAGAGGGGATGGCAAATAGGTGCATGGAGCAAGAGCACAGCACAGCGAGCGGCTGAATTGCTCGAGTTTAGTGATCATTATTATATAGTTATGGCTAGCCATCGCACAATAATGGTCCCCGCATCGCACGCTTTCAGATGTGCTTCTGCGGTTACCTGGAATGGTCTTCCTTCCGGTTTTAGGAAGCGACTCGAGCTATGCACTTTTAAATGTAGATTGGATACTAATTTCTTTAAAACTGAATGTCTATGCTTTTTCTCTCTCTCAAATTTAGCAATCTTTGAAAGAACGTAATCAATCAGGTGGGGTGTTGACTTTTGTTGGCCGACTCCCTGTGTTGTATTGCATTATATTTCCAAGTTTTCTAAGTTTGTTTTCTCGTTCATTTGTACCTGATGATGGTTGCTTGTGTTGCAATCGAAACGTCGTATTCTATTATTATTTTATTTTATTTCTTTCGATGTGACTTTACCGAAATAACTAAAGAGTAATTCCTGCAGTCACGAAAGCTTCGAATGTAGTTCGAATCTAGTTTGAATTGTTGTGTTCAGTTTGTTGCCCTTCCCGGACAACTCCAATCACACGGTTGGCTACACACGGTGTGAAATAAGTTCAACACATATATCGAGATGCAGTGTACAAGGAACATTTTGGATTTCATAATCTTTTCATATAATGATGCACAACGTAAATTTTCAAAAGGGGCCTGGTCACAAATGATAGCTCTACCGAGTGGCTTATCGTGTGGAAATTTATAGCAGCCAAATTCTCTAAACGAACGTTTCTAAATGTGGAGGTAAAAACCGGAGGACCCCGAGAACAATCCACGCGACTACGGGGAGAACACGCAAACTCCAAATATACAGCAGCAGGCGTCCAGGGTTGGGATCGAACCCACGACTTCCTGTACACCAGGCGAGGTAGTTAACATCTCGCTGCCGTGGCACCCAGCAGAGACATCCAAACTCTTTAATTTCAACCCCCTCCATCTAAAGAGATATTCCGCGGTAGCGTGTGGCCAAAACCACGAGGGAATGAAACGCTCAACCTGCACTCGGATTACAAGTGGCTCCGACTACCTCTGTGGCAGAACCGCCAACGGCAGCAGCAGCAGCAGCAGCAGCAATAGGCACAAACATGGCCACACACACACACACACACCATACAGACATTCACAACAACAACAACAACAACTGTGGGGATAATAAACAAACAAATAACCCGTTGGTCAGGCCCGTTGGGAACGAGCACACTTTAGCCCACTTGGTGGTTGGTGGTGGTGGTAGTGGTGGTGGTGGTAGTGGTGGTAGTGGTGGTAGTGGTGGTGGTAGTGGTGGTGGTGGTAGTGGTGGAGCTGCAGTGGCCAAGCGCGTGTGGCGCTGTACCCCGCTGGCCGAATCCCTGACGGCGGCCGTGCAGCCGGCCAGGCAGGGGTTGAAGTAGGTGATGCCGTCGGAGCCGCACACGGGGCTGTACTCCTGCATGCGGCAGCCGCAGTTCACGTTGCACTCCCACGTCAGGTTCCGCCGCGTCACCTTCAGGGAGGGCCTGGCAGCAGACCCGACGGGGCGTTGGGTGGCGGCCCGTTTGACGCGTTTGCTCGGCGCCAACGGCGGTGGTTTTTTCCGTAGCGGCGTGTCGCGTACGGTGCCCGGGGGGGGGGCGGGGGGGGGGGGGGGGGCGGTGCGCACGTCAACGGGACCCCTCCGGTTAGCTACGGTCGGCTCCGTAGGACGCGAAAGAAGTTGGACGTACAATGCATAGATAGATAACGCGCGCATACAACACGCATTGACGGGAATTGGCGAACGGAGCAGTTTAACGTCGCCGCCGCCGCCGCCGCGGTGCGATGCGATACGGAGTGCGCGTTTTTCGGGGAATTCATGCGTCGATTGAGATTGATCGTGTGCTCGAGATGCGCGGATTGAATTGTGGTGGAAAAAGAATTGGACTTTTGCTTTATTAAATCTGTATCGCAGGAGAAGGCGGCCGCTTGGGGTAGGCCTTCATCCAACAGTTGGATTGACCATTGGTGGTGGTGCTGAAAATGATATGCTAATGTTACCTTTGCAGGCTAATGGATCAAACTGGATCGCATAAACGAGAGCAAGACAACCGAATCTTGAGTCGAATATTATCCCGAATCGTGACCGTCCCTCGAATCGCTGTGGGGGAAAGGATCGTTCCATGAAACATTGTTTAACAGTTTACACGCCGCAGCATTGATGCCAAATGCACGTTTCATTTCAACACGGGTGCACCTTTTTTTTACACCGTCAATAAATCGCAACGCACGTTAAATCCACGAGAGCGTGACGTTTCCGTGCGGAAATTGCTTTTTCCTTTTCGTGCCGTCGCAACTTCATAATTTTAACGATTAAATTGAACCACCCATCATTGTGTTGCGAGCGCTCGAAGCGGTGGCGCGAAAGTAGGCCGCTCTGGCTTGCGAGGTCTGACCCTGTGGTGTAGGGGATATTGATGCCTCCCAGGTTGATGCTCTCGCATCCGGCGATGAAGAGCGTCGAGAAGCAGAGCAGAGAGACTCCGCAGCAGATCATGGCCAGCTTGGCGGACTCGCGAGCACCCAGCTTGAGTTTCTTGATGATGAGGCCGCCAATCACGATGCCCACGCCCGCGCTTGGGACGATCACGATGCCTGCACGTTTGGTCAAGAGGTGCGGTAAATGAATTGGTCAAAGGCGCTCAAAGGCCATCATCGTTTGTTCTCCATCCACTGTGCGATAATAATAATAATATCTACGAAATGTTGCGATGTCACGTAGTTGACTTTCTGGTATCAGATACGATTTATTACAAACTCCCACTGCACAAAAAAAATAATTCGCTTCACGAACCTGTTTCTATTCTTCCCTTAAAACACCCCCCCCCCCCCCTCTTCTCCCAAACCCATCCTACTGCGACTGCTACTCCCCAGATATCACCAGGCATACCCCAACCCCTATCATTACCACAACCCATACGCCTATCACTACCACTACCCATACCCCTATCACTACCCAACCCCTATCACTACCACAACCCCTGCCACTACCCCAACCCCTGTCACTACCCCAACCCCTATCACTACCCCAACCCCTGTCACTACCCCAACCCCTATCACTACCCCAACCCCTGTCACTACCCCAACCCCTGTCACTACCCCAACCCCTGTCACTACCCCAACCCCTATCACTACCCCAACCCCTGTCACTACTCTAACCCCTGTCACTACCCCAACCCCTGTCACTACCCCAACCCCTGTCACTACCCCAACCCCTGTCACTACCCCAACCCCTGTCACTACCCCAACCCCTGTCACTACCCCAACCCCTATCACTACCCCAACCCCTATCACTACCCCAACCCCTATCACTACCCCAACCCCTATCACTACCCCAACCCCTGTCACTAGCTGTATGCCAACCCCTCCTTAACCACTCCCACCTATTTTCCTATGACCACAAATACACCACCACTTTTAATAACCACACTCTTTATCTCAACCACTATCATCTGATGTACAATTTCATAACTGCTCTAAAGCACCTCGGAATATGGTGCTTTATGAATCTATATAAGAGAAGGGGATTTAGAGAGCCCCTCGAAAGGTCATTTTGGCCTGCTCTTCCGCTCGGATCAATCATCTTGGAAGAGGTGGCAGTATCCACACTTGACCCCTCCACACTTGACCCCTCCACACTTGACCCCTCCACACTTGACCCCTCCACACACGACCCACCGATCAACCAACTGTGGTGTTACCATCGACACTGCTGGGGGGATAGAGGCAGTGGTGGATTTAATAAACTCGTTGATTGCGTCAACTGTCGCGCCAGAAGGTCAAAATCAGTGACCCCTGGATTGCAAGTCGTCCAGAATGCTGACCATTACACAACGGTAGCATCCCTTAGCTAGGCTAACGGTGAATTCATTCCAAAAGACCAATATACTGATGCACGTTGTCCACTTCAAGGAAAATACAATTTCCCACCATTTGGCTCTGGATTTCAAGGTTACCTGAAAACTGAGGCTTTTGTGATTATTTCCTTCAGAAAGGCACTCACTTTTGCTGCAAGGGAGGTTTTTTTCTCTCTCGATATTTTTCTTATCACACAATTGCAAGAGAGCCACTGACGTCAGTCGAAGACCATTCATTCGGGCTGTATGGGTGGCATGTACAGCATCTAAACAATAGTGACTGACAGGCCGTGTCTACTACACGGGAAACATTCTTCGGAAAAAGCATTTCCCAATTCATGAACATCGCTTCAAGTTAACCTTGAGCACAAAATTTAGGTAATTATGCCATTTTGGACATTCCTTCTTCCATAAAAGAATACAAAATCTACAATGAAATGTCTGCTGAAAACCTTGTAACGTCATTACCAAGGATCAGCTAAATCTAACGCATAGGCTAATGCTATGATTCACCATTGATTTTTGGATCACACTATCGACACCCAATGTTGAATAAGGATTGGCTGTTTTGTTATAGTTCCGAAATTTACAATCAAATATTAAAATAAAACTGCGCATCAACATATATTAAATTCCCTGTCATTGTGGAACCAGTCACGTCACATGAGACACGTGCAGAAATTTGACGACATATTTAATGGAGGCTCCATTGTAAAAGCCACTGACTTTCTCACAAGACTGTATAGAGCAGAATCAAATGATGATTACACAGTTACACATCTAGATTTCTAAGCTGTCCCTCTCACAAGACGTCTGGTTAGCATTAAAGAGTTGGCCAAACACCCTCCAGAGGGGCTGTCGAGTGCTCCCTCAAGTGGAGACCCCTCAACCAAGAATGGCGTGAGCAAGATGTTGCAGGGCTGCCCCTTGAAACCTATCATTAAATAGTATGTATCGCCAGAAAGTCAATGGGACATGGGACATGGACGTTAGACAAGATGTGACGTCATAACATCCGATGGATATTATTACGGATTAATTTCTGATATTTTCTTCATATTTTGATTATATATGTACAGTTATGAGCAGTCACTGTATACACTCACACAACCACATGATGCAACTCTTTATGAATGCTTATACAATAGTTCGTTAGGATTGACTGAGGCTCACAGAGCCAGATTATGGCACCTTTAGGATTCATATTCTTTGGTTCTTTCGGTAAAGTCGCGTAGATAGAAAATAATAATAGAAAATACAGTGAATAGATAGAATAAAAATAAAATTAAAATAATGAAAAACAAAAAAACACTCATGTAGACTGTAGACTGGTTCTTAACCGGAGTGCGTGTACTGGCAGTCTATAATGTAGACTGTAGCCTGGTTCTTAACCGGAGTGAGTGTACTGGCAGTCTATAATGTAGACTGTAGCCTGGTTATTAGGATTCTTGAAATTCATTGTTATATTCCTTGGCTCACAACGGCACACTGGAGCACACTCAGGATACCTAAAGTTCAGTAAAGTTGAGTAAAGTTGAGTAAAGTTCAGTAAAGTTCAGTGTTTTTGTTGATGCACAGAGCCAGACTAAAACATCTGTAGGACTCTTGGGGTGCAGCATTATTGCCTGAGGCCCAAGGAGACAGAATAAGGCACCGTCAGGTTTGTTATAATTCAATGATATTGACTGAGTCCTCCTGAAGTCAGACTAATGAGCCTCTAGGAATCTCAGGTCCAGTATCAAGGACGGCATAGAGACCTCGCTACGTACGGGCTCATTAGATGCGACACCGCGCACAGCAATTTGACATTGTGATTGGATGCAAGCATATGCTGCCCTCCATTGCTAAACTATTAGAAATATTTTTTATTCAACCGGGTAAGGCGCACTGAGCTGTATAGCTCTTTTTCAGAAGAAACAATTATAGCTCAATGTGGAGATGTATAGCAGCCAAATACTCGAAAAAAGGATCCGGAGAAAAATCGACGTGACCACGTGAGAGAACACAGACTCCAAATATACAGGCGTCAAGGGTCGGGATCGAACCCACGACTCTCATAGTCAGTTAGTTCATAGTTGCATTTATTAGGTATAGCCCTGTGAGCCATTCGGCTCTTGAATCGGGTGCAACCGCAACAAACAAAAAACACGAACAAGAAAACATCTTAAATTGACTACGTGTGACTGCGCAAACAGAAAATCCAGGAAAAAAAAAACCATCAAAATATTCCTGAAAAATATTCCTCCCCGCCTACCAGGCGAGGGAGTGAACATATTGGCGCCCCGAGCGTACCCGTGTAGATGCTGGCACTCGAGGCTCGGATGCCGAACTGAGACTCAATGAACTTGGGAATGAAGGTGATGAAGGCGGTGACGATGGCGTTTTCCGCGGTGTAGGAGAGGCTCATGAAGAGGAAGCTGCAGTTCCCCAGGATGCGCGCGGCCGCTCGAGGAAGCTCTGCAGTACAAACGGGCACACGGGGGGTGGGGGAGTGGTGTCTTCATCTGATACATCAGAGTCAATCAGTTTGATGGGGGGTCGTGGCGGGGGGGGGGGCTGTTGTAGGTTTGGGGGACTCCCTCTCTTATTTGTTCAATCCTTTCCCTCGTCGACTGAAGGACTGTGTTGTTGTTGTTGTCTTGGGGGGAGCGGTAGCGTCGCGGTTAGCGCGCCGCGCTACGAACGTGGCGACCCGGGTTCCATTCCCACTGACAGGCCAACACCCAGTGACGATTATTTGAACTGGGCCTCCCCTAGGTCGACTCGGCCTCAAATGAGTACCTGGTGCCGTGTGTAAACATCGCCACTAGGGAGACAAAGGCGACCGGGCGTGGTGCTGGCCACCCACCCCCTCGTGTGCCGTGCCAGCCTTCATAGGTGCTCGCTAACAGCACTTGCCCCAACAGTCTGTTGAGGCTACACGGGAGATCTTTGTCTGCGTTTTCTTGGTGTGATCTGGGATTGTTCTTGCTGTTGTTGTTTTATTGCCTTTCCCAAGCTTGGAAGTTTGTTGTACTTATGCAATTCGAACCGTTTTGCTTTATCTATTAAATATATTTATTTTCAGTGATTTGCTTTCCTTTCCGATGCTCTGCACTCCTATCGGTTTATTTTTACATTTGGTTGTTGCTGTTACTTTCTGACCCCGTGCCCCTACTGGACATATATGAAAAAAGAGCTTCATAGCTCATCGGATTTCTCAAGGTTGAAGAAAGATTCAGATTTTCACCACCACCACCTATGCCCAATTCCAAATGCTCCGTTGTTATTTTTACTTTGGTTATTTCAGTTCTAGTTTTTGTGTGATATACACATGTTTAAGCCTACACTACACTATGCATAGTACTGTTAGCAGTATACGTAGTAATGGGCTTGCTCTAATTACCAATTTAATGTCATTAAGCCCCTGCATTAATCTGTCCCTGCTTACAGGCAGATGGTAAATTCATTTTCTGACAGAGCTGGGTCATTGATCCTTAATTATGCTGCACTTAATGGGTTACATGATTGCAATTACGTAGCATGCCTATTTTAACTACGTTCTGGAATTAATTGTTCACTAAACACCACATTCTGACCCTACCATCTTTGTCGGCATTGAGGGCATTGCTTTATGGCTAATACTGCCACACTTGTGAATGCAATTAGGCAAGCCATTTGTGACTGGACCATTGTTCATGCCAGTTTTGGAAGAAAAAAACAACCAAAAAACAGGTACGTTAAAGTAGCAAATGCAATTGTTATTCACGCTGTGTTTGAATACCATTTGTAATGCCATATGTAAGTTTCTCTCACTTGTGTCAAATATGTTTAGTTTGGATTGCCTACTAGATGTCCACAATGTATAGTACTGGTTGTTTATTAACCGTGTTTATAAAAAAAAATATCCCTACTTCTCTTCCATGATACTCCTGCAAACCCTCCACTCACCATGTGACGTGCTTGCCATTTTAGCCAGGTCACCATTGCAAAAAGACATCCTTAGCTCAACTCTCATTAAATCACGGTGGGGGTGGGGGGGCTTCTACACAACCGACCAATGTGCTTGTCAGGAGAAGCGACCCATGGATTATCTCCTGAGATGCCCTGCAGCACCACAACGCTACTCCTCAAGATTTGGCAATGCCGACACCAGAAGCGGTGGCATGTGCAGAATGCTGGGAAAAGACTGCGTAGGTTGGACAGGAGACAACGAGGAGGAACAATAAATACCCGAAATAATCTGACTAACTGATCTGCGTTTGGTATAAGATAACAATGGCTGTTTTTAGTGTGTGGTGTGTGTGTGTGTCGTAAGCCAGCACGGTTAAAGAAGTGAAATATAATAATAGGCACGCTATATTTTCACTCCGCAAAACTGATATAGGGAGAGAGGCTCAGGCAGTGAAAGACACAGAGACAAGTCAGAAATAGACGATGAAGGAGAGACAAAGACACAGAAAGACAAGATGAGACAAATGGGGAATTCTAGAGACAATGGCGAGGAGACGGAGCGAAGGAGACAGGTTGAGACAGAGGCAGATACATTAAACACGGAGAGAAAGATGGGGAGGGACACGGAGGTAGAGGGACAAGAGAGACAGAAGAACACAGAGGGAGACAGAGACAAAGAGATAAAGACAGATCATAACGATTGCTAGAAAGAGGGAAACACGGACAATGAGAGACAGGGATACAGAGGGAGATAAAAACCAAATAGATGGGGAGACAAAGTGGGGAAGAAATGAATGCAGTGAAAGGAGTGGTGAGATTAATATATTGAGACAGGGTGACAACGACAAAATGCAGATAGAAAGAGACTTCCAGTATATATTAAAAGAGTACTCTTCGGATTATAATTTCCAAATACCTTATCAAACTTAGATACCGTACAATATTTGGTATTTAAGAGAAGAATACATCAAAGGTGTTTTTAAATGCACCCTTAAACATAATGAACTCGGCGACGTGCCTCCGAAGCTGCTTATAAATGATGTATTTTGTTTAAACATGTGGGTATGATGACCTGGCATGCTCTAATTTGAATGTGATCCTGCGATCTCGTCATCATTTAAGGTACGTAATTTTGGGACGAATTTTTTGTTGGTTTTGTTTTACTACTTCTACACAGCGAGCATCCATAAACCTTTGGTGGTCGCGCGGCGAAGCCTAATGCTTCCACGGCTGACCTCTGATGTCCTTGCCAAAGCCGACGGACGAAGAAGCGCTCGATTCCTCGCTGTTGGGGCACTTCTGCTTGAGTTCATCTTCTTCGCTCTTCCCGGGAGCCGAGGATCCCGGCTCGTCACTGCCCTGCTTAGATTTCTTGTGCGGCCGCGGAGGAAGCTTCTTTGGGAAACTGAACATCGGGGCGACCACCAAGGACATGGCCACTGCACACATGAGGAAGCCGCTCCACCTGCAAGAGCAGAATGAGGCTCAGCAATTTATGTGTTAAGAGAACGTAAATGGACCGTGCTCACATGTATTATACATCTGAAGAGGAGAATCGAGCTGGTCGAAGCCTTTATTTGGACACCAGCTCACACCGCACTTACACTCATCATCCCAAAAGCCAACCCCGAACTGCCCAATTCAATCCCCTTTAACAGGCCGTCTCCCTACCGTTCCGCCAATCACCTTCCCTGGTATTTTACGATCCTTCCCCGCACCAATCCGATCAGAGTGTCCTCCACTCAGGCATCACATTGCGTGTCGTGCACCGCGGTGCTCACGTGACCCCTGACCTTAAACCCCTTGTTGGTGTGGTGTTTGTGTGTGAGGATACCGAGGAACTTCCTCGACACATCTTCTACAGGGAAAGTATATGGCGGTGCGATGTTTAGCGCGTCGATACTTCAAACCGCCTGAATTTAAATGCTTGACATGACCAGGGCTCTTCCCTTTCATCGACCCATGCTCAACTATGGTATATATATGTAGATAGAGATCAACTTTGTGTTGAGGAGTCTTCATCCGGCAGTACATTGACAAAGGGCTGAAAGATATATATATTTTTTAAATTATTGTTCATACACACATGTACGTATGTTGAACGTCTTTCGCACTGTGCTTAGCCAAACGTGCTAATCGGAGGTGCGGGGAAGGACAACAACAAACTAAACACAAAAAGCACTTAGAAATAAATGAGTGTTCAATCTAGATTTAAACGTGCATCGCTCCAGTGGCTTCCTAATATTGGAAGGAAGTGCGAGACGGCCGCAGAAGGGCATTTGAAAGTGCTTATACCGTCTTTGATTGATGGTTATCTAAAATAATGTAGCTCTACTTGTCAATGAAATTATCTCAAGTGTGGACTCAAAAGCATCTACAACTGTCATTGATGAGTATTTTTGTTTATATATTTTTTTTATATAAATTCATGGAACAATGTTTTTTTATGTATGTACTAGCTGTACCACCCGGATTCGCCCGGGACTTGGATTCACCACGCCCGGCCGCCTTTGTCTCCCCAGTGGCGATGTTCACACAGCAGAGCAGTTACTCGTTTGAGGCTGAGTCGACCTAGGGGAGGCCCAGGACCGGTTAAAATAATCGTCACCGGTGGTGGCCGTGAGCGGGAATCGAACTCGGGTCGCCGGGTTCGTAGCGCGGCGCGCTAGCCACTACACTACAATGCGTTACGCTTCCACATGGGAGGGTCACGTGACAGATATGACGTCACAGCTCACTTGCCGTGCAAAAAAATATATGCTCCCCCCTTAAAAAAAAAGTTTATTTTTATAATTTTTGCATGGTGTACAGTCTGTAAAGTACCCACATGGCAAATCTCAAGTTTGTTGCATGTCGGGAAGTACGCTAAACATTTTGAACAGACATACATATTCACAACTTTGCCTTTCATATATATGGAGATAGTATACATCTACTCTGCAAGAATAGCATTTGCAGTGCTCAATTTACACACATGTGACAAACCAATCTGCCCTCTAGCGGTGCATTACAATATCAGTTACAGTATTTTTTGACACTTCAATTCAATTTAGAAAAATCCAATACACCATTTCAAACATGCGCCACTAAAGCAGGAGGCTAAGCGCACAGGAAGTCAATGGCCTGGGAGGGGTGTCTATTATTGATGGCTGCGCAGTTATTTTTGTCCATCGCAATCAAGGCAAAAACATTTCAATGTGACCTTAGCTCCTGAGAGCTTGCAGTGTGTTCTCAATGGATCATGAATTTCGGTGGCGTTATGCAATGCAAGCCGGGCTGAGAGTGCCCTCTGCTGTTATGGCACGTTGGGAGGACGATTAAACACCACGTGGGGTTTCCTTGAGGATCGTCAGTGTATATGACGAGTGCTTACGGTCTCTGCAGATACAGAGTGATCCCGCAGTTAAGAAGCATTACATGTTGTTTACAGGCAAAGGAAAACAAGTACACGTGACATAAAATAAACATTAAATGTAAACGGAATGTTTTTTTGTTCATATGTTACTTTAACTTCCGGGGGGAGAGGCTCAGAGTCGAGCCGCTTGCTCCTCCGGATTGAGAGGAGCCAGTTGAGGTGGTTCGGGCACCTGGTAAAGGATGTCCCCCGGTAGACTCCCCCTGGAACTCTGCCGGGCAGCACATTCCTCTGGACGAAGACCCCGGGGCAGGCCCAGGACACGCTGGCTGGACAATGTCTCTCGGCTGGCCTGGGAACGCCTGGGAATTCTCCAGGAAAAGCTAGAGTCTGTGTAGAGTCGTGTCTAGTAGTCTATAGTAATGTAGTGCTGGAGTCCGTTGCCAGGGAAAGGGAAGTCTGGACCGCCACTACTCAACACGCTGCCGCCACGACCCTCACCAGGACAAGCGGATTGAGAAACGAAGTTTAACTTCCAGAAATCAATCATTTGTAATTAAATACGAAATCTGACTCTTTTGATATTCATGAAAGGTGATCTAAAACATGGCATGTAGAGAAATTATATAATTAATCAGATGTTTATCATCACCAAGGGCCATATGAATCCACCCGCCGGATGTCGCTATCCCCAATCTCTCCGCAATCTCTTCCGCTATTATGATGCCATCATCTATAGTCGTGGTTCGTAACCTTAACTGCAGCCTTGCAGCCCTTTGGTTCTCAATCATTTAAAAATGTATGATGTTAACAAATACACATAGGTTTGATGAAACAAAGAAGTTGCACTCACGTGCCCGTGCTTAATTAGCTTTTCGATGATTTACCTTCTAAAAAAAAATCTGGCCACGTCACGCACCCCGGAATAGAAAGGGCATCTCGCAACCACCCCAGGGGGTGCGTGCACCCCAGATTAAGAAGAACCACTGATCTCGAGTCTCATCGCTCCGTCCCCTTGGTGCCTCCTCTTGGATGTTGCTGCCTCGTCTGGCTGCCAATCCGTGACCGCTCTCGTCCATTGGCCGAAATCCCTTCCAGCGGTGTCCTGCCCATGCCCACTTGCCGTTTGTAACACGTCTTCATTGGCAATTCAGTCTCCGGTTCATTGTGTTGCTCCTCACGTCTCTCAGCATAATCCCAAGCGTGCATCTCTAAATACTTCTTCGTGTCCTCTTAAAGTTTTTTGTTCATGCATGTGACCCATATGCCTTCGCTGCAATATGCACTGACTGAAAACTTTCCTTCTTTGGCGCATCAGTATGATGATGCTTTTCATTATTAGTCCCATCAGACATACAGCTTTTACATGGTCCTTTCAATGTATCCTGTTCTCAAAGCGTCGTTCGGTGTGTTTTGCATTTTTTGTTTTTAGATCCAAACAAAGATATGCAGTACATAAGTACACTCGTAAAATTATCTTGGGGCACATCATGCCACGAGAAGGGATGATGGTCAAGAATAGTTACAAAGGGCCAATCGAGAGCGCGTCCACCGAGGAGATGGAGAGATGCAATCAGCTCGTGTGCACGTGCTGTGTGGAATGTTACATCGCAGAATTTCCACGAGATGGCGATGATGACTTGGGGAGGCATTCATCCAGCAGCAGAATGATCATGGCTGCTGATGATGTTGATGATGGTAAATGAAGGAGTTCATGCCATTTTGCCCAGCTTATAAAGCAATTACGTACCGGTATACTTTGTTGAGAACAACCACATATATATATACCCACGCTTAGAAAAAAATATATCTGACAAAATCTATGGGCGCATACAGATGTGTACCTTGCACTGAAATAAATACATCTTTCTATACTTATTCGGAATAAATGTCCCCAACATGTTATATACAATATTTTAAAAAATTGCGATAACTACGCAAAGACAACTGCATTTGCTATCCATTGTAAAAATATATTTTTGTCACTAAGGTCACAGCGAGATATACCAAGCACGATGAAACTAACACGTGTCCATTCGCTACTGTGCAATACGAACAATTGTTCAAGGAATCAGTAAAATGGTAACTATATATGTGTGCCATGATCCATTAATTCGCATGGCTATATGAATAACCACCTTCCAATAATAACAATACTAATTCTACAATAAATTCAGCCCTTAGTCAACCTAGTACTGGACGCTTGATGCTATGCAATATCCAAAATAAACCATCAGGATTGCCTGTCTGGTCAGTGCAAGTTGGTGTAAGGGTGGAATCCCAGATATCATTCGCCACTGATGTTAGTCAGCCGTGGCCGGGAATCGAACATAGATCGCCAGTTCATAACACAGTGCACGTACCCATTCCACCGACCATCAGCAGCTATAGCAGGAAATCAAACCAGATGGGTACGGAGGCCCAGTGCTCGAACCCCTGCATGTACAACATAAATTATGAGTCTTGGATCAACGCATTAAAACTGTCGTCGACATACACCCGGACAAAATGAATTGCCAGGCTGTGTCATTTATAAAAAGTGCCTTACTCCCCTTCCATGCGTCTCCTAATGAAGTGCGCATTTGTTCCAAAGGTTCCCAGTTTTCGGAGAACGGAGTGTACCTATCCATGTCGTTGTACTTTAATTCAAGGCGTTCCCCCATCTCCCCCCCCCTCCCCCCACTTTAATGAGATCAGCTATTGTAAAGATTGCTGACTTCAGCTTCGAGCATGATTACTCCTTACTTGACAACACTGGAGATTTTGACGCCAAAAAAACTCTGCTGACTTTGCAAAACTTTGGAGATTAACTTGCACAATTAAGAGATCGGCAAACGCTCGATTGGGGAATTCCATCCACCAGCTGCACTCTGCATCATTCATAGAATTCCATCGGGGGTTTTCGGTACAAAATGGGTTTTTTTTTTCAACGAGCCAAACTGGGACATACCATCATTAAGAAAAGCATCGCTGTAAAAGGGCTATTTTTTTGTATGAATGTTCCAATACCATGTGTCATAATAGAATTCTACTAACATAATTATTAACCCGCTGCAGCATGACGGCCTCCCCAAGCTGTCAGTAACGAGGAGAGTTTAACCATACTTCACCATTGCTGGTCAGTGCGAGATGGTAGAGGAAGGGCCCATGAACCAGATGTGATAATACCACTGACATGAGCCATGGGTGGGGACCGAACACAACGGAGTCCAAAGCCCAGTGTGCTAATTACTGCACCACAAATCTACCCCATAACTCATACGTTACTATAAGAGATGACGTTATGCTTTCTGCAAATTACCGTTCTGCACCGTGTAAGGTTGTGCTGTACATTGGAGTATGTTTGTAGTATATATAAGCCAATTACGCCCAGCGTAGCTGAACAGTAGATTATTACTGCGGACAGATCAGTAGTCCATGGGAATACAATGCCTCATAAAACAGCTGCGTTTGGTCAAAGGCAAAAGTGGAAAACCGTGCAAATCCCATAGCAGGTGGTGGTGTGTGTATGTTGAACTACTTTCGCACCATATGTAGCCAACCATGATGATCAGATGTGCGGGGAAAGGACAACACACTAAACACAGCACCTCCGATTATCACGGTTGGCGACGTACGGTGTGAAAGACGTTCAACATAAATCCAAAAAGCCGCGCACAATATTGATAAGCAGGGAGAGGTCACTTGTCAGAGAAAAAAAAATGAGAAAAGGCCTTAATGCATGCATGATGGTGAACTTCTTTCGCACCGTACTAGATGATTTAAAAGTGCACAGCTCCAGTGGCTTCCTAATATCGGAAAGGAAGAGAGCGTTCCAGACGGCCGCAGAAGCGCGTCTGAAAGCGACCGCCGTCTTCGTTCGACGGCGGTCGCCAAAAGTTGGCGAAGAGGTGTGGCGTGTCCTAACCCCCTGTCGGCAGCTGACGTGACTTTGACGCGTGGATGCTTCGGGGGAACACGCGTTCTCTGACGGTGGTCCTCTCACTCACCAGTTCCCGACAAAGCGCGGGTCGCCTTGGTCTCCGGGGGCCTCCAGCCAGGGGTCGACGTACAGGCCGATGAGGATGCCCCCCAGCAGGTATCCGACTGCTGGGCCCAGAGCTCCCATCACGTAGAGCATCGCTGGATACACGAGAGCAAGAGGGAAAGGCCAGCGTTCTCCTACGTACATCGGAGAGACTAAGGGCAAGCGATTGTTCAGTGGTGAAGTCGGTCGTACATCAACAACAGCATCAACAACAACAGCACCAGCAGCCGGCATTCGTGAACTAAATGGTCGTGGTGGTGATGTCACCAGGGCGCCTGTGCCAGGCCATGTGCACTTTGAGGCCGAAGTGAAGCGTCGAAGCCAGTGCGAACACCTCGGTCACCACACATTCTACAGGAGGTCGTGTTCCTGGCGGTGTAATACAGTGCACGAAGCAGAAATTGTATTTTGCTTAACAATAAACTTGTACAGTATATAAGGGCCCTGAAAATGTCTCACGTTTTGGTATTAATTGAAACGAAAGTCAACCAAATTTCTTGGAATATGTGATCGGGATAAAAAAAATTACAATTATATCAAGCAGACGAATGCGAGCAGAATGGAGTGAATAAAACAAAACATTTGATAATAAACATCAACATACCAACGTGCTTAAAGAATAACATTTTCAATCAGTGTATATTACCTGCGATGATATATTGATCAGAAACGTTGACAATTGCACTGAAATTCTGATGAATACACGATTCACATTTTGTAAATCGCACTCAGGGACAGAGAGAATCACGTGGATCAGAGTAGAAACACAAATAATTGAAATTATGTTGACCTTTTATTTAAAGCTTTCGTGACTGCAGGGATTCATATTCTTGGTTCTATCGGTAAAGTCACGTAGAAGGGAAACAATAAAATAATTAAAAATATATAAAAACAGGTTTGGAAACCACAGCAAAAAACATTTCTTGCTGTGGTTTTCACACCTGACAATTATTGCTTGTGTTGCAGTCGAAACGTCGTAAGCATTTTATTGTTTTATATTTTTATTATTTTATTGTTTCCCTTCTACGTGACTTAACCGAAAGAACCAAGAATCTTATGTTGACTGTTTAAATGAAAGCAAGCGGACCTGACGAGGTAACGTCACGAGGAGCTATAATGGCTGTGGGATGATGATGATCATCATCATCATAATCATCATCACGATCCATGGGCCCGGAGGTGTCCACAACATATCTCGTCATTTCTTTCCAACTTTCCTCTGTCTTGTGCCGTCAATCTGCTCAAGTATTGGCGGCATCTTTCTGGCACCAATCTCTTATGTCCTCGTCAAAACCATTCTCTACTCTTTGGTTCTTTCGGTCAAGTCACGTAGGTAAAAATAAAATAAATTTAATCAAATCACGACGTTTCGGAGGCAACACAAGCAATCCGTCATAAGGTGTAATTAGCACAGCAAAAATTACAGTACAGCAAAAATTACAGTACTGTACAGCAAAATTACAGTACAGCAAAATTACAGTACAACAAAATTACAGTCATTTTGCTGTGCTAGTTAAACCTGATGACGGAAGCTTGTGTTGCCTCCGAAACGTCGTGATTTGATTAACTTTATTTTTTTTTACCTACCTGATTTTACCGAAAGAACCAAAGAGTATGGATCATTGCAGTCACGAAAACTTCAAATCTAGAATTAAGCCATTCTCTGTTAGGTTCTCCGATCTTTCCGGTTCCTTCCATTTTTACGAACAACAACACACTCGTTAATTTCCTGTTCTTGTCCATCCTACATACGTGTCCAAATAGTGCCGGTTTCTTTCTCGTGACTGCCTGCATCAGCGCTCCTACGACGTGCAACGCTTTTCTTACTTCTACGTTGGTCACTCTTTGGGTCAAGGTTTAGATGCAGCAGCATCCTTTTGCCTACATTTCGAGTGCCACTATCTTATATCTGCCAGGATGTTTTTTTTTTTTGTGGGAAGCGGCTGGCGGAAAAAGTGGCGGACAAATGAGAGAGAATGTGTCCAAGAGGATGATCACCGTGGCGATGTGGAGGTGAGATGAGCTCAGTCGAAGGAGTGAGATGGATCGTGGCATCGCAGGATTGATGGATGTCGTTGGTGTGGTCAGGCATTCATCCAACTGTGATTATATCATGGCTGATGATGATGATGAGGTTACTTTTTTAAGTTCCATATCTCTTTACACTTTTCAGCTGATTCTGTTGCTCTAGTTAGCTTGTACGTAAAATATTCCCAGGTTTACAAGATAAGACGAAGCTTGCAGACACATCGCTGCCACAGCTACCTAAAAGGTTTCATAAAATAAATGCAACCTTTTTGCAGCTCCGATTCAGCACGCTTGGCTACATACGGTGTGAAAGAAGTTCGACATACATTCAAACTTCATGTAGTTTGCTTTGCCGTGTTCTCGTCTGTGGCCTGAACCGAACAAACACGGCACATTGCAGCTCTTCGCAGGACAGTATATCAAACTCACGATTTAATGTTCCAGAACCTTGAAACGCCACACGCTGATCTGGGTCGTGCACCATTCGCAGCCAAAAAAAAAAAAACAGAGTCACTAACCAAAATAAATCAAGCTCACATTGTTGAAGAACGGCGGCAGCAACTCATCCGACAACCGGTATAAATCGATCTGAAAGGCTTAGCGGAGCATGGCCAATCTTTTCCGGTGAATTTGTGCCATGCTGGCATGGACAGCCATGCACTCTTAGCAGCGTGAGTGGTGGGGCAAGGGGAAGGACAGCATCAGCAATGTTCTCTTTGGATTGCCACTACGTACGCTGCGTAATTTTACAGCCGTAGTGTTCAATATGTGACCAGTCCATTAGGATGTATGCAGCAAAACTGGGGTTTTTTGTCCATCTTTACCCATTCTTATATTCCAAGGTACATTGACCATCCGTTGAATTGTATCTTTTTCCACCAAGGTAAATACATGCAATGATCAATTAAATTAAATACACTTACAATACAGTGCATTGAACCATCTGAGGACCCAATCAAAACTATCACCTTATAGCAGGGGTCACCAAAACGATTTCCAAAACCATGAGCAAACACAAGATCCAGGTTCGATTTAACACATTACATTAAAATTCGTGATCTGACCAAAATGCATTTCTCTAAGATGAAGGTACTTTGCAAACCCACTGGCTAGCAACAAAGATTTGTGCATGAAGCCATCCATATATACAGACATAAGACACAATTTCAACCGAGAAGATGGGTACAAACTCAGAAATCACTGGCAGGACGTTATCAACCAGTTTAAGTCATAACTGGCTGTAATGTTCCCATTTTAGCACTGTCCGTTGCTCACCAGTTTTTTAATCCCTCACATTAACATAACCTTCTCCGCTCAATATGCCGAGGCCCACCGTTTTTAATCGCCTGCCATTAACATAAGCTCCTCCGATCACGCTCCCCCAGGGCTCTTGTGCCCCGCCAACTCCGTTCTGACACTTGGGCTACACCCATTTTAAACCTTTATAAACAGTTTGCCTCTTTTTTTCTCCACCTGATGACCCCTGCCTGTGTTGTGATCGAAACGTCGTAGTTTTTTGTAAAACAAAATTACCTATCTACGTGACTTTACCGAACGACCCAAAGAATAAGTATAGTAGTAACAAGGCTGGATTATGCACTGGGCTAGTGGGGTCAGTGCCGCGGGGCCTCAGACTGCCAGTGGGCCTCCAAGCCTCAGGCCAGGCACGGTGCGTGGCCCAAGACTTCCGAAGGAAGTTGACCGCCAGGGCTGTCAGTGCGCACAGTGTAAGCTGTTCACTAGGGCCCCCGAGACCCCTCATGTGCTTACAATGTGAGGGCTTGATTGTCTGTGAGTGGATTATATAGGTCGCAGATTAGCCATACTTGAAAAATATACATGTTTACATGCGCACCAGTTTCATGATTAGCAGCTCCTCACTTTTCGAGGTTCAGTGCCACTCAGTACCCACGTGGCTGCAAAGATGTCGGCAAGTAAACATCTGCACCCCCATTCTATGTAGGTGAGTAAATGTTATGGGTGATGCTGCATTGGCAGTGACACACAAGCACAATGAAACATTTACCGATTCCGTTCCGATGACGTGCATACATGTACGTCATCGGAACGGAACTGGAAAAAAAACATTTATCGGAACTGAGGCTCCCATAAAGCCATGCGGGAGGGCGTGTGGCACAGTTTGGCACCAGCTATCGTAGAGTGCGGTCGTGTCGCTACAGTTCTCTATGGTGAGCACGGTGTTTTTTTTTTAATAACGGCGTTACGCCTCTCTAAATAAAATTAACGCGAACCGGTTGCACGTTCCGAGATTGAGCAGTGAATGGGACCCCACCCTGCAATTTGCAGACGTGTGGATACGGTAAAGGGTTAACAATATAGCTCCACACATTCATGCAAATATATAATAGGCGATGTTTCAACCAATGGCTCTTCTTCATAGCATATCAATTAAGATAACCAATGGCCTAATTATAGGCTAATTTATCATCTGTGTTTTTGTTTTATTTGGGACACCCTCCACCCATTGCAACGGGCAATCTTTCATTGTATAAGTGTTACATACTATTATTAAATACGTGTATAATGACTACTTTACATTGAATTATTACATTATAATTGCTTCAATGATTAATCCTCTGTTTGCTACTACATAAAGCGCACAGAATCTAGCTGAAGAGTAGCAACTTGTAGAACTGAAGGTTGAGTTGTAACTAATCAATTGGGATACAGTTAGAATAATTCAGGTGGGAAGGGAAAGCTCCATACTTCTGAAGAGTGGATACTGATTCTACACGAGAATGAGTATAACAGTTGTTATGGAAGAGTGGGAATTCTTAGTCACTCCGGGAGAATCAGACATATAATTTTAAGGGTTAAAAAGTTAATCAGATAAAGTTGCCTAGACTATGCTCAGGTTCTAAAAATACTACAAGTTACAGATCATACATGTATACAATCCGACAACAAGCGATGATGATGATGATGATGAAGTAGACCAAACGTATGGGGAAACTGCCCACCTACTTACTGCATGAGGTATAAATGCACCATAATGGGCGACTATAATTAAACATTGAGTTAAAGATGCGAGACGATTTCTGCATTA